TATCAAGTGTTCAATAATTGACAGCTGCTATTATTAGCTATTAGCCAACAGCTAGCAAGTCCAGGGAGACTTATGACTTTAAAACATCTGAAGTGCTGCCAGCCTGGGACATAGGGCTTGTGAGACTCAGCCTCGAGAAATCTCTGAGAGCATAAGTGTTTTCCCAAGGAAAGAGGTAGATACAAAAGAAGGGGGACCATTGAATAATCGGGGCTGGACTTCCCATCAGATCTGAAAACATTGTGCTCTGGCTTGAGGTCATCAGTTGCCTCTACACTCCTGTGGAATGGGGCCATCTCACAGAAGGGGACCAGAATGGAAGAAAGAGATCTGACCTTCTGGCACTTGCTGATGGATCATCTGTTTACATTGATTTTCCCCTCCTTATCTGCTGGGCATGTTAAAAGCCTTCAGGTTCTGCTGTGTCAGGTCATCAAAGATGCTCTTATGTGGAGGGCCATTTGGGTAAATGGGATTAGGGCCTCTTTGGGAGGCCCATCTGTTCTGTCCTTACCTGAAGGCCTAGGCGCCAGGATTTGGAGGAAGCTGGTACAAGGAAGCATCTGTCCCGTGGGGGTGGGGATGAGGGTGAGTGGCCTGGGGTAGGTGGGTCAGACAGAGGCCAGGAAATCCTCTTACTCTGCCAGGTACCCAGGCCTCCCTCTGCAGCAGGAGCTGAGCAGCAAACCCTGGTGAGTCAGCATGCCTGGGAATTAGAGCTGCCAGTCTGTGAGCATGTGGGGTTTGTATGAGTTTGGGCCTTTTGTTTCTTTTAGCACTGTAGTCTTTAGAAACACCAATCTGGAAACCAGACCCTCCACATGGTATAGTCCTGCTTGTTTTGAGATAATTCGGCTCCAACAGTTGCTTTCCTTGCATGCTGGTCTTCCAAGAATTAACCCCTTGCCTTTTAAAATTTTAAATAGCTTGTTCTTATGGCTTATTTGCTGTACTATTAAGGCACAGAAAGACTTAAGGAAACTTAATTGGATCTTTCCCCACACCAAAACCCTTCAGCCTTTCAGTGTTTTTTTTGAAGCCTAAGTGGAACTGCAAGTCTTTTGAGGGCACGTATGGGCATGTCTTTCTGTCAATTTATTCTCTTTGAGGGTGGAGAATAGGACACACCCTGATACAGTTGAGTCTCCCATAACTATAAGAGTGATCCTGGTGGTCATTTTAAACTTGTACATCCAGAATTTACCTGTAGAATTCCTTATGAAGATAGCCCCAAATGTATCTAGGCACTATTTGGAGGAGAGGAAAGTTCTTTAGGTAAAGTTTAAGCTCCAACCTTCCATGAAAAGCACCCTTCTGCCCCACTGCCTGTCTCCTTAGAGCTTTGAATTTGGATCATAAAGGTCCATGAACGCTTCCTAGAGCGGAGCAGGCATGGGACTGACATGGATTTTGGTCCACTTTACCTGCTCTACTTCTGGCTCCTGGTCTGAAGTTCTGTTAACATTGTAACTTTGGTGGCCGCAATTACTATGGCAGGTGGTAGTATTTTACAGATACTAAGTTGTGGCTGGATCTTCTTGTGGACTAGTTAAGACACAGTTTGCAGAGAAATCACCTCACCCCTGGCCAGGAAATTTCTAACAATGTTTTAAAAACGCACAAAACACACTTTTAAATAACGTAAGTAATAAACCACCATGAGGAGTTTGTATCAGCGCACACTCTTGTTTTTTAGCTAGCAATTATCCTACTATTTAGAGATTATATTGAGGTAAATCAGCACTTCTTTTAAGATGGAGACCTCCTCTTGGAGGACTGAGCTTGCAGGTCTTCTAGGACCTTCCATTTTAGTGTGGACTTGGCTTGCACTCTACATACAGCCTTGAGGAGGACCTGAGTGGGGAGAGAGAGAAACTGGAAGACCAGGAACCTTGGCATGGAGTACAGGCTTGATGTTTGGCTCCTGTGGGTGGGCAGAGGAAGGGTGGAGAAAGGGCATTTCACTTACTGCGTGAGAGAGTCCCAGAGAGGAATTTGAAGAGATCAGAGACAGATTTTACTTAGCTATTTGGCTAGGACACTGTAGTCTTGACTCCACAAATCCTTTACCTCATCTTCAGGCCATTCTGAAACTCTTAAATGTGGCTGCCCTTTCTCCCTACTCATCCTACTTAAAAAGAAAATCTGAGGATTTTGACATTAGAAACTAGGAGATGAACTTTTTATTTGCACCTTCTGGCTGAATCCAGGACCAAACAACTTTCTTATGTGATGGCAAGTTGGCAAGACAGATTTCCTCTGGAATATTTCTGGCAAAACTGCAGTCTTCCCTGATGTGTTCTGCACATGAATCAACCTCTTTGTAACCTATGTTACCTTAAGAATTTTAGGAATTTTCCTTATTGATTCTCCATATGTGCCCAGCCCTGCATTTCCAGTGTGAAGGTACAGAGCTTATGGGGAGGTGGTGATGAACTCTGGGTCTCTCATGGTTGGCTCAATGAAAGAGAATGGGGCCCCGGGGCGCAGTCCCTGTACTCCTGTCTCCTTATCCAGTGGTAACTGTTCTCTAATTTTCTTCTAGGTTGGCTAGCTCCTCTGGCTGATGGCATGTTGAGGCACATGGGCCAGTGGCAGCGAGGGCATCTGATCCAGAGGGGGCCACTCTAGAGGCCAGGCCACCAGCACCATGGGCCAGTGCGTCACCAAGTGCAAGAATCCCTCATCAACCCTGGGCAGCAAGAATGGAGACCGTGACCCCAGCAGCAAGTCACACAGCAGGCGGGGTGCAGGCCACCGCGAGGAACAGCCACCAGCCTGTGGCAAGCCAGGTGGGGATATCCTTGTCAATGGGACCAAGAAGGCAGAGGCTGTCACCGAACCCTGCCAGCTGCCAACGTCCTCTGGAGATGCTGGGAGGGAGCCCAAGTCCAATGCCGAGGAGTCTTCCCTGCAGAGGTTGGAAGAACTGTTCAGGCGTTACAAGGACGAGCGGGAGGATGCAATTTTGGAGGAAGGCATGGAGCGCTTTTGCAATGACTTATGTGTTGACCCCACGGAATTTCGAGTGCTGCTCTTGGCTTGGAAGTTCCAGGCTGCTACCATGTGCAAATTCACCAGGTTAGTCACAAATACTTAATGTCACCAGGTGAGCAGAGGAGGGAGAATGTTCTACTGGGCAGTAGTGCCCAGCTGGGGTAGAACTGGGTTGGCTTCTTAGGGTTTTGGGTAAGTCTGTCTTTTTCTGACCGATTTCTCTAAAGCAATTCAGCTTTGCCTAAAGTTAAGCGAGGAATAACCCACGTGGAGCTCTGCTGCCCAGCCCCACTGCTGCCCCAGACGTTTATGTCTTCTTTCACTCCTTCACTTGTCGTTTCCCTCACTTCCTCACTCACTCGATACTTACCATGCACCTCTCCTGTGCCAGGCGCTGTGAGTGCCAGTTTGGGGAGCACCTTTGGTGTCTGCCTCTGTCACTGCATGAAGCCAGTTGCCCCTTCTAGCTTTGCATACATGCCCCTTAGCCAGCATGCGCACCAAAAAGGACAGCGGGCCCCCGTGACCAAGCAGTAGTTGTGCACATCTCCATGGTCATGCGTCCCTGTAGAGGTTGTTTGTGGGGACGGAGGGGCAGGGTCACCTCAAGGTGTGGTTTCCAGAGCACTGGGTTATAAATAAGAAGTGACTTTGAGACCCCCCCCCC